GATTTAGATATAGCTCCTATATATATCTTCGTCCGATTTAAGGTAAATAGTGTACCAAAGTCCCTATATATCGTTCGATTTGAACGAAATTTGGCACAGCGTAATGAATTAGGTCTAGAATGATGTATGTCAAGTTTCCTGTAAATCGGTCTAGATTTAGATATAGCTCCCATATATATTTTTGACCGATTTAATGTAAATGGTGCACCAATGTCCATATATACCTTTAGATTTGCACGAAATTTGGCACAGCGTAATGAATTAGGTCTAGAATGATGTATGTAAAAGTCTCCTGAAAATCGGTCCAGATTTAGATATAGCTCCCAGGTACTGAATTAGGTCTAGAACGATGTGTTTTGAAGTTTCGTGAAAATCGGTTCAGATTTAAATATAGCTTCTATATCTGACCAAATGAAAAAAATTAGTATCGGTTGCAGAAAGACATGTTTATGGATCCAAATTCATTTTACTGGTCCTTTAAAATGTGACGTCTGTTAGGATTCATGTTGAATATAGCCAAAGTGGTGAAGGGTATCATATAGTCCCGTCCCGTCCAACTTTACTACTTTCCTTACTGGCTTATGTGTATATTTCTTTATTTTTACCTATGACCATCGCCAGAAGGCGTTTCATACATATTTTAACTAATTTTCGTCCAAAGAATCGTAGTAGGGGCTGGATTTAATCGAATTTTTCGGCTCCATATATATATATATATATATATACATATATATATTTGATGTAGAAAAATAAATTCATTGGCAACATTCTTCTTCACCGGAGACCCCATAAAGTATTTAGATATTCTTGATCAGAATCAAAAATCTGTACCAAAAATTTTTTTATATTGACCCAAACTTCAGGGTATTCCCCATATAAAGTTGCCCCCCAAATATTCGGGTTTTTGGAGATTTTAGACACGTTTTTCCATAGGCTTTACTGTAATTTGATAATTTGGGTTCTATTTGAATAACACATATCCATACCAAAGGTTAATAATATTGACCCAAGTTTTAGGGTATCCTCCATTTAACGGAACATCCAAGTATTCGGCATTCTGGGGATTTTGGACACTTTTTCCACCAAATTTACTGTAATTTTGTATTTTGGGTTATCATTATAAATCACATTTCCGTACTATTTATATATATTGGCCCACGTTTAAGGGTTGCCCCCATAATATGGTAACCTCCCAATATGGGGATTTTTGGCTAGTAAAATTGGCTGTAATTTGGTATTTTGGTTTCTCATAACGGTACCACCAAATCTCCTCACTAAAAATTATTAATATTCACCCATGTCGGTATTTTGGACACATTTTTCAACTGAATTAGCTCGATTTTGTTGTTCATTGGCGTTCATTGTTCATATTGATCCCCATTTTATTATAGCCCCATATAACGGTAGCTCCACTACACTCTTTCCTCACGTATGTTGAAGGTCCCATCATGACATGAGCTTTGTTGAAGGTCCTATCATAACATGAGCTTTCTCCTAGGAACCCCCATTAATTTTACCCAGGCCGAATTAATAATTAATAATTCTCACCTTTTCGGTCACTTGAGATTGAAGTTGTCTGACAATTAATGAGTGGGGCCATTCGGCTCGACGGAGTCCCTAAGGCAATAATAATATCAGACGGCCTTGTTTAGTTAGTCACTATTCTTTGGGGCAAGTATTAACCACATCTGTACGAAATTGTTATATATACTTCTATGGATTATATTTAGACAAGGCTCTCATATATAACCGAAAATTAACATTATGTGAAAATTTAGATTTCTCAGTTATGCTGAATTAATTCTTCCTAATTAATGAATAAGACATACTACCTTTTTCTATCCTTATATAACTGTACACAACAAATTTAACTTGTTTTTGGTGCCACAAGGCAAGACTCTATACTCTACTTACCTGTCAGCTTCAAAGCAATGTCGAGGATTATTTTCGAAAAAGTTTATACTTCTATTTGAAAGAAGTTGCTCATGTGTTCGCTACTTTAGCGTTTTCATTATGTCAGTTGATGGAGTTTTTATGGAGATTGCCTTGTCGCTGTGTGTGTGTGTCTGGTTGTTTGAGGGTTTGGTTTGACTTGCATCTTCTTCCAGTGGTGTGTTGTTGTTGCTGTTCCCAGTTGCATCATTCCTTGCAACCGAGATATTTTTTGTCAGATTTTAAGCATCCTTAAAAATATTACAAAAGCCACAACGTGCAGACAGCCTTTTAAGGAAAAAGTTAGATATGAAAGCATGTGGTCGGTTGCTAGGAGTTTTTCTTGTACATAGCTCCCAAAGATGTCAAAACATGACATCACACACACACACAACCATTAAAGTTTTTATTTATTTTAATGAAATATCTTTGTACTTGAATGGAATTTTTATTTTGCACGGAATTGGGGGATCATGAATAAAAGCATGGCTACTGATCAATTTCAAGAACTGCAAGAATATATAATCTTCAATAATTTTTCGATATTATAAAGGAAAAATTTTTATCGTAGCACAAATGTATACAGACTTGCAGGTTCTAGAACAGACATTACGTTATACTTATTTTAATTTTCGTACATTACTTTAATTTCCATTCTAAGTGTTGTAAAAATTTAGAACATTGCAAGCTAGATGTAGATATATGTGCCTTGAGAACATCGTATACACATTTATATCAATTCCATTTTCACAGCATAAGCGAATAAAATTTTCCATTTTGCTTTCCAATCCAATTAACGCAAACACTTTTCAGTCCTATAGTCCTATTCATGGTATATTCTTGCAGGCTCTGTTAACAAGGAGGGTGGGAGTAGATCGATGTTTCAATTGAAGCTGATATAAAATCACCCCTTAGCTATTACATAGGCAGTATCCGTATTGGCGTGAAAACTAGAACTAGGTGACTTGAGGAACCTGGATGTAAAAACTCTAAATTCATATGGACGGTAATTTCAAGACGTAGATCTAAATATCTGTCTCTATGACAAAAACTTTCGAAAATATACTCAGTAGATGTATAATGCTTTGAACTGGTAGACATAAATGTTGACATTTTTTATTTGATTTGATCCAATCATCATTTGCAGCTTTGCCAGAAAATTGTTATGGCTGAGTTACCTAACATAATATATATATATATATATCTTTGTCTCTCATCATATGCCTTCTCTTATCATTTCATGGTCTTTTCAGGATAAAACAGCAGACCGAGTGAATCGTCCACTACTCTGATAGTTGCTCATCCAATTTTCTGACTTTTAGTCATAATTTTCTTAAGACATGTTTACAATTCTCAATATGATGGCGAAGAACGTCTCTCACCATATGCCTTCTCTTTTCATTTCATGTCTCTCACCATATGCCTTCCCTTTTCATTTCATGGTCTTTTCAGGATAAAACAGCAGATCGAGTGAATTTTCTGACTTTTAGTCATAATTTTCATAAGACATGTTTATAATTCTCAATATGATGGCGAAGAACGGGAATGGTTTAATATCCATCAACTATTTTACTCAAAAATCACAGAATAGAGGCAATTCAAATTGCCTCAGAAATTTCGAACAATACCGTTTTATTTGACACGTAATAGCGATCTTTGCAACTCTTGGCCAAAACCTCTTCTATTGATTATTTTCGACTATTCCAAGGCTTATATAAGGTCGGACCGTAAGGACAGCTGATTATTAAGTTTGCTGTCAAATCATATTTTGTCCAAGCTCTCTTTACCGATTCCTGAATTTATTTTGTTTGCTTACGGTAACGGATACAGATGTTCTGTTCCAGAACCTGTATCAAAAAGTGTTATTTTTTTTAAATCTCTAAATGCAATATCAGAAACAAATTACATTTGCTATATTCTAGTACCTACAAGAATCTTATAGAAATCGAAATTGTTTTCGATTTTTCCTTTATTAAGGTGACCATACCTCCTCTTTTTTAGAGAACAATCATCGATTTTAACTGGCTGTCATCTATAAAATTGGTATCCTCTGTCTGTCATTTATTTCTATAATCTGAGATATTTGTCAATTAATATATATATATATATATATATTTTTTTTTTTTTTGAAATTTCAGTGAAATTTTTAGAAATTGTATTTTTCGGTATTTTCAGAATTTTTAGACATATTTTCAAACCGAATGGAATTAGACCCATAGAATCACTTTCTGAATCGATTTACGCATGTCCGTCATTTGTGATCCGATTTGGATGAAATTTGGCACAGTTTACTTATTTGGCCCAAGGACGAAATTGGAGAAAATCGGTTCAGATTTAAATATAGCTCCCATATATACTTTCGTCTGATTTTATGTAAATGATGCACCAAACTCCCAATATTTGTCCGATTGGCAAAAAATTTTGCACAGAGTTCTGAAAACGTAGTAGATTTTTGCAGTACGGGAACAGACCAAGAGCATCTGCGATAGTCCTCGCTCACAAAAAGTGACAAAACTTTCAATCTTATGAAGGTCTTGTTCCCGTACTGCAATAAACTACTTATTTTTACTAAGATAACAATTTTTATTTATATCTAAAAATTTGTAACCAAAAGGATATATTGGAAAGAAACAGACTGAAGTATTGGGTATGTTCCCGTACAGCAAGAATCTACTATTTTTTCTACGATAACACTTTTTTCCTTTATGATATCGAAAAAAAACTTGTAGATTCTTGCAATACAGGAACTGGTCAATTTACATCAATAATTATGCGATCAATTCGAACTTTTTTCTTTCAATGCATTTTTGATAGTTATTTGTCGATTTATCGATTAGTTTAAATTCGACTAACGTATCCCTATCTAAAAAGAAGGAATTTTTTTCAAAATTGGCAATTCAAAAACGAAATGTATATATGTATTTGTATTTCTTTTTATTTAATTATATTATTTCATGCGACAACAATAAACTTTAAGGGATTACAAAAATAATTCATGATTCATATCTGATAATAATACATATTCCTGATTACTCCAAAGCGGAATCTAAGTCCACATAAAACAAAATTCATTGGAAGAAAACATTTGTTGGATAAAATGGTTGATGCATCGCCTCAAACGTCAATGGTAAGTTCATGCCAGCTTTACTATGGAATGTTCCACTGCTGTGATATTGTGCATATTTATCAACAGGCCCACCATTATATGAAGCTAAATTTTGAAATATTTGATCCGATCTCTTGTGTATAGAAGTAGCATCTAGATTTGATTTTTTATAGTTGGAATTGGAAGAAGCCTTGTTGTACTTTTTGTTCTTGTTGTCATTTTCCCATACAACAACTGCACTGCGTCCAAATTGTGTTATTGTCCGCAACAATTCACGCCTTGCGTGCACCGCTTCTTCGTTGCACTTGAAAACGATAAGGTATTCATAATTACCGGGACTTATCTCGCGCTCTATCAAACGATGGAATGTTATCAATCGGTTCAAAACTTCCGATACTGCCTTTGGAGTCATATTATAGGTTTTGCGTAGCAATAAAACAGAACTATTACGCGACTGGCGGACACGTATCATTGACAGAGAATTCTGATGAAATAATGTTGGTAATCTGAAATAAATGTGTATGATATTGGTTTTTTAATCGTTTTTATACTGATTATTAAGGTAACTAAGAAGAAGAAACCATGTCGTTGTAATCATGACCAAGGAAAAATTAATTTGTTTTGCTTTTGGGCATATGTTCAATATACAAGATGGACCGGGATCGGTTTGAAACTTCTAAAACCTACCTGTTTGGTATTGAAAATTTGATATGTTGTTTTACTCTTTATTATAACCGAAATTACCATAATTTGGATTTTCTTACCCCAAATTTTCTATTCTATAAATACAACTGTTCTACTAAAAATTGTAGGCTAACTGCTGTAGATATATTTTCTCGTGTTATACCTTCAATCTCAATTTTTCTAGTAATGTATTTGCTATTCCAAATACACCTGTTTCTTTTGAGTGACAGATTTAAAATCAATAAATCGAGAAATGAGATGAGAAACTGAATAAAATATTTTATAACAATTGAATTTTCCGTCAGATATTTGAAAAATGTTTGTTTGGTATATTAATACATTACCCGTAGAAAATAGGTTGGGAAAACTGTGGCTGCGGAATAACTAGAAGAAGGCAATAAAAATAAACTCCCAACTGTTCCATTGTCGATTTGAAATTTCGGCGATTTTCAAACGGCTGGCAAATTAACGTGCATTACATTGGAAACTTTTATCTTTGCTTATATTAAAGACAAGAAAATTAATTGACATAATTTTGTTGTAGCAGCCCTATTGCTTTTACACATTGGTGGTGGCATACGTTGGCCCAGAAAACGTCGAGTCCTTTCGGATCGTGAATGTCCATTCGAAGTAACAAATCTTCGTTCCAGACTTGTGGCTAATGGCACAATTGCTCATGCTACCCTCTTACAATACTAAGTTAGAGCATACATAAATTAATACAATATTCACATTTTCTATAGGGTAAGTGTACGTACCAATCGTCGGCACTTTAAGGATTAGCGTATTTTAAAATTTTCGCCACTCCGGGTGCATTTTTTCCACTATATTGTATTATGGTTCATTTGATTCGAAATTTATTATGTTGGGCAAATTTACAATTAGGTGAAATAGTGTTTTTTTCCAATAGTCGGCACTAGTTTCCAATTGTCGACATGTCATGTTCCAATAGTCGGCATGCCATATTGTAATTGAAGAAAAAGTATATATTTGACTGATTTGCTTATTATTTTCTTTAATAAATGGTTATTAAAATACGTTTCCTTATTGTTATTCCTTCCTTATTATTGTGCCAAAAAAGAAAAATGAATTAAATTATTTTATGAAAATATTAAAATTTTTGTTTTTGCAAAAAAGCCAGGCTGAATCCCAGTTTGTTGTTTTTATAAAAAAAAAACAACTATTTATTAGTGGGGAATGTATGGCATTGTTTGCCGAGGGGTAAGGCAGGGAAGACTATAGTTTCGGATCACGCCACTGATCCTCATCAGTTTCCTTAGTTTTTTGTTGGGACATTTTCCCCAGAAGCTATTGCTTCAATACAAAAAACCTTTCATACCCAAATGTCTCTTGTAACAAAGCGAAGTACTTAGCTGACCAACGACATAAACTGCATGAGAATTTCGCTGGAGCCTCACTTCGAGGTTAACAAGGCATTTACAAACAATACCACACCTTTCCCACTGTTGTGTGTTGTCACATCGCGACAAATGCACACAACGACTTTGTTGGTGTTGGGATTCAGCCTGACAATTTTGCAAAAACAAAATGGTATCCCAAATAAACCGCCAACACTACTAAAATATTACAATTATAAAATTTGATGCCGACTTTGGGAAACAGTTATCCAATACTCGGCATGGCTAATAAACTCACTTTATAGGTTAAAAATGTTTGAGATAAAAACCATATATATTTTGTGCAAAGCCACTCAAAACTTATTTTTTATAAATGAATGGTCCTTTAGAGTTCTTATTTAACTTTTTTCCAATTTTGAGAAAATTAACCAAAGTTTTTTTGCTTATTTTTCACCCATATGCCGAATTTAGGAAAATCGTAAATTTTTTTGTTCCTAATGGAGGCATCCATAAAAATATCATAATAGCAAATATTTCTTAATAATTTTAAATTCTAAAGTGTTCCCCTGAATCTTCTTAACAAGTATAAAAAAATCCGGGTGAAAAATATATAATTTTAATATAGTTACGAGTCTTTCAAGTCGGCATGCTTACTATTTTTTTCGTAAGGAACGTGTGTTGTCGATAGTGGTGAAAGAACCACAGTGAGAAAAACTCAAATTACTGCCTAACAAATGAATTTAGCTCGATGAAATTTTACACAGAGATAGATTATTCAAGATTATTTGAGGCAGTTTTCATATTAAGTGAAAGGATTTTTTAGTTATTGGAAGTTATATATAACGGATGCCGAGTACTGGTACATGCCGACATTAGGAGCACTTACCCTATATCTTTTCAAGAGAGAGATTTGGACTGCAGCCAACCTGTTTCAATAACGAGTATATGTGTAGTCATTGCATGAAACTTTATGAAAAAATTCCTGTAATAGTCCCGATACTCGTCCAATACTCGGCATTGCTAATAAACTCACTTTATAGGTTAAAAATGTTTGAGATAAAAACCATGTATATTTTTGTGCAAAGCCACTCAAAACTTATTTTTTATAAATGAATGGTCCTTTAGAGTTCTTATTTAACTTTTTTTCCAATTTTGAGAAAATTATCCAAAGTTTTTTACTTATTTTTCACCCATATGCCGAATTTAGGAAAATCGTAAATTTTTTTGTTCCTAATGGAGGCATCCATAAAAATATCATAATAGCAAATATTTCTTAATAATTTTAAATTCTAAAGTGTTCCCCTGAATCTTCTTAACAAGTATAAAAAAATCCGGGTGAAAAATATATAATTTTAATATAGTTACGAGTCTTTCAAGTCGGCATGCTTACTATTTTTTTCGTAAGGAACGTGTGTTGTCGATAGTGGTGAAAGAACCACAGTGAGAAAAACTCAAATTACTGCCTAACAAATGAATTTAGCTCGATGAAATTTTACACAGAGATAGATTATTCAAGATTATTTGAGGCAGTTTTCATATTAAGTGAAAGGATTTTTTAGTTATTGGAAGTTATATATAACGGATGCCGAGTACTGGTACATGCCGACATTAGGAGCACTTACCCTATATCTTTTCAAGAGAGAGATTTGGACTGCAGCCAACCTGTTTCAATAACGAGTATATGTGTAGTCATTGCATGAAACGTTATGAAAAATTCCTGTAATAGTCCCAACTTTAGAACGTCACCAATGCTTCCTATCTTGCAAAATTAATATGTCCACATCTTCCAAGCTAATTATTGTTTTAATCAGAATACTTATATACGTTTACGAATCAAATTCAAAGTCATTGTTACATTTCATTCAAATGCAAAAATATTTCTTGATTATTTGCGAATTACAAAAATCGCCGAAATATAATTTCAATAAAAAAATAATTTTTCACCCGAACGCCAATTAAATGATTAAACTATATATAAACTAATTGTGTTCGTCTAAAATCCAGGTTTAGGAAGTATATGCAAAAATTTTATACGGTTTCTTACTTACTTGGCTATGGCAAATTGCATTATTGACGGATTCATATATTGCAAATAGGCAAAACCACGTGAATCGCCTGAAAAATTCACTTTGAAACGCAACACATACACTTCACCCAGTTGAGAGGCTATTTCGGCAATTTTCTCCGGCCTAGTTTCGCTAGGTATGCCATCCAAAAAAATCTAAAATGCCAACAAACCACATAGCTCAATAGCAAAATGTACACTAAAACCAATTCAAAAATGAATAACTTACCTCCCCCACACAGGCATTCAATTGCCTTTGCAACTCATCATCCAATTTCTTGCGACTTTTCAGATATTTTGTACCATTTTCCTGATACGAATCATACCATTGTGAAGGGTGTTCAAAAACTGAACGCGCATAGGAGCAATTTGATATTTGTTGTGACGAATTGATCATGATTTCTGGGAACTATCAGTAAACAAGTATTTACGTTGTTCTTGATTGGTCAAATGAATGAATAGTCTTTTTAAATTCCTGGAACACAAACGTCAGATGTATTGTCGTAAAATGGGAATTCCCAGAATTTCAGATAAACAAATCACTCTGTTGGGTGTGTTATATAATGAAATTACGCGCCATATTTAAAAAGAAGATTCGATTCAGCAAAATCTATTCAGCTATTTACTAGCAACGGCGAGTATCGTTTTTTTGAAAGCTATGATGCTTTCGCAAAAGGGGTAAATCTCGACAATAGGAGAAATTCTAGGAATACAAAAAGATTGCCATATGATTAAATACCTTGAATGTTTGCCAATTCCATTGACAGTGGCATTAATGGAATTTTTAATTAAAAGGGATAATGGATAAATTTCCTGATTGAATTATTCTTCATATAATAATAATGATATATATACGGCTAAAATTAAATTTTAAAACGTTATTCTGGCAAAGAATGCAAATAAAAATTTGTTAAATAAAAATAAGGATAAAAATCTCTACAATTTTCCCCAAAATGGTTTTCTGGACATTTTAGATTTTTTTAATTTATGGTTGGCTATATGTATTCCTTATTAATCGATGTATTCGAACAAACCTCTATACAATATATTCCAAGTCAATTTAATTTCAAACACACATTTAAAATTAAAAAAACGCATTCAAAATTATTTGGATGTTTTGTGCCTTTTTTGAACCAAAATTAAATAATTTCGTAATTAAAAAACATTTTTTCGAGTACTCAAAACATGCCTAGATTTTTAAAAAATATATATTTTTTTAAAGTCTATCCAAGGCGTGGATTTTTTTAAGAATATTTTTTCAAGGTCTATCCAAGGCATGGATTTTTATAAGAATATGTGTTCAATGTCTATCAAATTCGTGTTTTTTTAAGAATATTTTTCAAGGTCTATCCAAGGCGTGGATTTATTTAGAACAATTTTAAAGGTCTGTCCAAGGCGTGGATTTGTTAAGAACAATTTTAAAGCTCTATCCAAGGCGTGGATTTTTTAAAATAATATTTATTCAAGGCCTATCTAAAGCATGTTTTTTTAAAGAATATTTTTTCAAGGCCTACCCAAGGCATGGTGTTTTTTAAAAAATATTTTTCCAAGGCTTATCCAAAGCATGGTGTTTAAAAAAAAAAAAAAATTTCCAAGGCCTATCCAAGGCATGGTGTTTTTAAAAAATATTTTTCCAAGGCTTATCCAAAGCATAGTGTTTTTAAAGAATATTTTTTCAAGGCCTATCCAAGGCATGGTGTTTTTTAAGAAATATTTGTTCATGGTGTTTTTAAAAAATATTTTTTCAAGGTCTATCCAAGGTATTTTTGTAATTTAGCTTTCAAACTACAATCATAATAAATATAAGTGAAATTTAAAATGAAGTTTGACGTTCTTACGCCAAATTCAATCGTTCAACTATAACTACCCTGACCAATCACTGTAAACAATGCCCCGCAGAATCACTTTCGTCAAGTACGGCAACCCTACATACTTTAATAAAAATTCCCGGAATTCTGTAAATAACTCAGATAGTGGACTGTTTTTTTTCGTTGAAGATCGGTCTTCTATGCTTAGTTGAAGTTTGGACACTCCCATTCTTAAAGAAAGTATATTGTGCTATGTGAACGCTTATTGTATAGTTTTTCATTCGTTGTTGTTCCAAGTCAACAACGACCAGTGTTGCCAATTTAGCACTTTTAGTGCTAGATTTAGCACTTTTTGAACTCGTTTAGCACCAAAAAAATTGATCTAGCACCTAGCACTTTTTTTAGCATTTTTTAATTTCTTAGGATTTTTTTTACAAAGATTTGGTTTCAATGCAAAAAATCCCGTTTTTCGATTTCATATTGAATTTTCGCTATGTGCCGTGCATAAAAATTCCCGGAATTCTGTAAAAATTCTTAAAAAAATGTCGTGTACTTCATGTGGTGACTATGATATTGTCTGTTGGTAGATTGTTTATTTGGGAAAATGAAAAACCAAATTAAGTTGTACATTTTATGAGAGCGATGTAAAAATAATGAACATGAATTATGTTGGAACTTTCTGAAAACAAGTTTTTTATTCAGCGGGAATCCCGAATGCCAAGTTATAACCACTTTAGATTACCGAAAAGGCGAGCGTACCCATTTATATTGGGATTGTGCCATAATAATGAAAAAGCGTTATGCTCGGCCGGGCCGGTTATATGGGGACTACCCCTAAAAAAGGGTGAATATTAATAATTTTTGGTTGGGAGATTTGTAACCATATACGACTACAAAATACCAAATTTCAGCGAATTCTGTTGAAAAACGCGCTCAAGAACCTCAAAATATCGAAAATTGGCGGTACCGTTATATGAAGCTACCCGAAAAAATTGACCCATATTTATAATTTTTTGTGGAGAGATTTGCTACACAATAAGAACTAAATTACAGCCAATTCGGTCAAAATTACCCAAAAACTGGAAATTTGGAGGTACCCTTATATGGGTGCAACCAGAAAAGGTGGACCTATATTTATAATTTTAAGTGAGGAAATTTGGTTATTATGTACCAAATTTCAGCGAATTCGTTGAAAACCGCGTTCATGAACCCTAAAATAAGGGGTACCCTTATATGGGGGCTATCCTTGACCTATATTTATAATTTTTAATATAGTTTTCTATAAAAACTCAAAGTACCGTTCCAGCGAATTCTTTATATGTCAAACTCCCCAAAATGCCGCAAAATTTGGGGGTACCCTTATATGTGGGCTATCCGAAAATATGGATGCCTATTTATAATTTTTAGTGGAGATATTTGGTACCGAATAAGAACTCAATGTACCAAATTGTCCTCAGATGGATATGGCTATATCGTCATATATATACTTTATAGGGTCGGAAATGATTATTTTCTTGAGTTACAAACTGAAATACAAAATTAATTTACCCTCCATACTATGGTGGAATAAAAATGTGCCTCTTAAAAAAATTTTATGTTGTACCCAAAAAGGACCATTTCCAATATCAAATCTCATAGAAGTAGTTCAAACGTATGTGCAAAATTCCAAAGCTCTGTCTTCAATATTGCGACCTCAATGCGACGGACATGGCTATATAGCAGTTAAGAATAAATGGGGTATCTGATTAATATTTCATTATTAATTATTAACAATTTTGTTCTAGAAATTTTTAGCACTTTTTTCCGGCACTTTTTTAAATTATTTAGCACTTTCTAGCATTTTTTTCAACAAAATCTAGCATTTTTCCTCAACAAAGTTTTGGCAACACTGACAACGACCCATAATTGGTTTCAAGAGTCATAGTGAAAACCAATTCTAAATAAACTCATGGAATCACGTCAAATTCTGTCGGACCTGAAAGCTTCCGCATACATCCTAGAAGACCTTGTATATGTATTCAAAACGTAGAGGCTCCTTTATATATCATGTATCCAAAGGTCTTCTATACATTGAAGAACTGTAGGTCCCATAGTCCTCTGTACATAACAAATTAGTCTTTTTTACACAAATATAACAAATATATCTTCTAAGCATGAACTAATTTATACATGGAAGCAAAGAAGACATTTCATAGGTCATAGATGACACAGGGTCGTAAGACTCCGATTGCGGTCATAGGTTTTGATGTCTTCTAATCGTTGATTAGATTCTAAATCAAAAAAATATGTTTTTTTTTTTTAATTTTTCGTTTTTTTATTAATTCATTTTTATAAATGTATGACAAATAAAATTAATTCTACGATCTAAAGATATTTTTTGTTGTTTTTGTTTCTTAATATATGCCATTATTTTTTGTATTGCGAAATATTTTGAAAATTTAAATTTTATTCCAATCATTTTTTTATAAAGCCACACGTCTATGACTAGTAGAAGGTGCAGCAAAGAGAGAAAATTACCGAAAAAAAAACACAAAAAGTGAAATGTATTGCTAACGATTAATCGGGCTTAAGAATAAATTTATATACTTAGACACTATGAAGAAATTATGTAGTAGTAGAAATATGTGTGGATAAGTAAATGTTTACTTTTAAAGGGCAATTGCGTAATATATAATAGCTTTTATATATAGAAATATTGTAGCAGATAATGGGAAGAAAATGAAAATTAAGAAATGTATGTTTTTTGTAAAAATATGAAAAAAGTACTGTTGTTAAAAAACCTATCGTTTTAATGAAGGAAATCTTTAAGATTTCCCATTCTCGTTTATCGTGCTGTAGTTTTCCTTGCATTTCGTATCTACCAAAATGGACACCAACCAATATAACACTGACATAGATTTTCATTATTTGTGGCCTGTTGTATCAACAAATCGACTTGTTGTTGTACAGTGTAACTGGTCTGTGCCTGGAAATCGGTGCCGGTCAATTTTCGTTTGACCCTTTTTATAACCTTGCTAGCCTTGCTGTTGGTTATGTCAGCATTATTGGCGTTCGCCGCCAAAAGAGCCGTTGAGAATTGCGCATCATAGGCCTTCGACTTGGCCATGGTATTGCTGTGCAGCATGTTGTCATCAACGGAATTGCTTAGACTTGCGGCAGTGTTACCAGCCATACCAGTGGTGGTGTGTGTATTGTCATTTGCATTTTTGGTTCGATGATTCTTTGTTTCGGTGTCTAGCAAACGCCAGTTCAGCAGAGGATCGTAGACAAAGGCCTCGAGGACAGCCATCAGAGAGTCTTTGTTGCGACGCAGCACCATCATGACACTTTCACAGGTGCGTCTATAGGTGCCCTCGATACCAGTCACTTCCATTGCCTTGATAAGCATTCGCGTCAGACGGAAGGGTATTTTTTCCGGGAATTTCTCGCGGGTCATTGCCACTTCAAAGCAATCACCAAAATCAATATGCAGTATTTTGCCACTCATACGATCCAACATAAGATTGGAGGGGTGACGATCGCCCAGACCCAAAATGTAGCCAACCATTGACATTACAGCCAGTGAACGTGTATAATTGGTACGTCGTTCAAACCATACCTCGGATGAGGGTGACTTCAGCCACAGTAACTTGGCCAGATCATCACCAGGAGTTTGTGCCAGGGCAAATTCAAAAACTTCCACCTTTTGCATTAAGGTCAAGTGATCATAGTCGGGTGATATGCTCAGCATAGTACGATGTTCTTGGTTCAATGGTATACCCTTCTTATCTCGGTAGTCCCGTATCAGAGTGTGTAAGGTATCACAATGTGGTACCCAACCGATGAGACCCGAATTCGTACTCAACGGTATAACAGCATAACGCTGTATGGCTAAATTACGTCGGAACGTGTCTGGATCGTCGAGCAAAAGTGTGTTGACCAATGAGAAAAGTTGCATGACTCGTTCATCTTGTCGCAGATCTTCGTGACCCTTAAGCAAGTACATATAGTCTTTTCCATTTGAACCGCGTATACACAACTTGCGCGGTCTTTGTTTTGACGTAATAACCTGGAGGTTTGTTTTAATATAGCTTATACTTATTAGGGCATGACCTGGATTGTACGAACCCGGTACGGCCAATTCCAAATCTTTGCATGCCAAGAGCTTGGGTGAAACGTACGGCAATTCCAAAGAGGTTAGCTGGGGCAATTGGCGCGATATTTTCTGGAATACATGATAGTATATATCCCAGGCATGATCTAAATCGGTTAGAGCGTTTGACGACTTATAGCGCTGTGTCCATTCATAGGCTTCTGTCAGTTCTCGTCCGTATGCCTGTGAAAATGAGGTTTCCTTGAGTGTTTGTGGTCCCCGTTCTAACATACAGTGCAACGGTTCCAATATATCGAACATTCCCTTGATATTACGATCTCCAAAGTACAGACGCGAAGCTTCTTCCAATCCCTCATGCCACTGTTCGTGCCACAATATGGCGACCCTGATCAATTCTTCGCTTATCATCATGGTCTGTTCCACCAAAGTGGGGGAATGTTTTCGCATAGAATCGAGAATTTTAAACGCTGCATTTTTACGTGCCATCGAGGCAGACTTCGAAGCCACAGTCAAGGGATATACCAAGGCCTGTGGATGATTCTTTCCAATGTCAATCAACAGTTGATGGATCAATTGGCCCACTAAATTGCGGTGTGTGTCGATGCGAGCTATCAACTGTGGTATAACCTGTAACCAGGTATTGATTTCAATCAGTTTCATACCTGATAGCAGAGCATCATACACTTCCGAGTGGTGGCCATAATCAAACCATAGAGTAAGCAGACGCAGGGTATCTTGCAAGGAGTTACCCTTAATAAGACTAATCGAGCGGAAGAAGCCATGTACAGCTGGCACTGCATACTGTTCTATGATCATTTTCTCTTTTTCAAGTAACAGGGCTGTATTGTGTAGATCCATGGGTGATTTCAGATTTTCCAAAGCTTGTTTCTGGGCCTGAACAACCTTAAAGTTCATGTAGGCATACAAGTGCCAAGCCTTATACCAATTCGGATCGTATTCAGCTGCTTTTTCAAAGCATTCCAAGGCTCCCTGAACAGCATCTGGGTCTAAGCCTTGCAATTTGTTTTGCCAAGTGGCCAAACGAAGGTAACACCTGGCCAATAGACGATGATCCTCTTGTTTATAAGCATCTGGCATACAATTCAGCTGGCTACTATATGTGTTGACAAAGCGACTGAGTTGATCATAAGCACCTTGCATATTGTCGGACGCTGCCATGTGTTTGGTATAGGCATAGGTCACTTGCGGTAAGTTGTAGGGCAAAGGATCGCTGGGATTTTCTGTGGGATCCACACCTAGTAACATGACCAATGTTTTGTGTGACTGTTGCAAGGAACCGGATTTACGGCAAAGGGAGGCATATTTCAGCCATGTGTGTATATCCTCATGAGGACGTACCACCAATGAATGGACTTGTATTATACGGCGCCAATCTTCGACCAACCGTTGACCACCCTGCAATCGTTTCCACCACATATTCTTAAGAGGCTCCCGTCGTTCTGGTATCAGCTTGTATTGTATAACTTCTTCCAACTCGGCCAACATTTGTACGCAAACCATGGCGCCGTAGGCCCGTTCATAGGATTCTCCAGCCATGGATGTCAATTCGGTGTCGAGTAAATCGCGAGTTTCGTCTATTAACCGTTGAGCTAACTCGAACTCATCGTGGTGTACAGCGAGCACAGCTCTATAGAAGGAACCATCCTGTGTATCTTCGGGTATACATTTTACGTATTCCTGCATTGATTCCCAATCCTGCAGACCCCAGGAGGCCACAGCAGCCAGGGGAGCTGCCTTTGACTTTATATCTTTATTTAAGGTATCCCATTCCTGCTTGGACACCCTGCTTAACTGAGACCATTCGCCCAAAGCTTCCAGACAACGCATACTGCCTAGACGGGATTCAATATCGCCGTTATCTTGACGTAAATTCCTCTGATAATGTATTAGAGCTTGATCCCAATTGTGTAACTTTTCATACCATCTACCCTGAACTTTAAGTTCATCTTTAAATCGAGGATTTTCACTTCCTACGGAATTGCGATAGGTGGTCAGCAAACCTTCTGCAGCTTCTTTTTGTTGCAGTTTGTTGTTAATTAAAATCAGGGACTCGAAAACATGAGGATCCTTGTGAGTCATAAATTCTTCCTCCTTGTAACGTAAAGCCTTGGCGTAGGCGCGACAAGCCATGGCGCGTGTGCCCAATAATTTGGGATCAATTAATATGGGATCTTTGTCACAATGTTCCATGAATTCGGCCAAATTTAAAATGGTCTGCGTAATTTCGGGCATATCGGTGACTTGTAAAGCTTGTATTAGCGACTGAGTCAATTCATTTTTATGTTCTGGTTTTAATTCGGACCAACACGATATGAATGCGGCATTAAAGAGATCCCTCAGTAGTTTGTCATAATCTTCGGCAAGCACACGACAGGCACGCAGTGCATGTGACTGTGATTCCCTCAGCAGGCCGATAGACAGACGTTTTAACCATTCAACCCAATCGTCTTTGGAGACACGACGATTTACCTGCCAAGCCATGCACAGTTGCTTGGTGGAGACGTTCAATTTTTTTATGGTGGTGTTGGCATCACTCATCACATTGGCAGCTGTGTTCTGTTTGAATTTTGCCTGTCGCATAAGGAACTCCTCTTCGAAACACATGGTGGTATTTGATTGCAGTTTAGCCATTAGCTTTTCGTATTGGGGATTCACAATTCTGTGCTTAGCGATGGTGCGATTAACCAAGGGGGCAAATACCAAATACTTCTTGCCCAGTTGGATAACCAACGAACACAGGGTGGACATAGCCTGATCTCTTAGCTCAGCATCAGTGTCCAACACCCTAACCAACGGATGTACGATACGCGAGGAGAAATCGGTAAAGTCTAAATTCCATGCCAAATTGTCGATAGTCTCCAGGGCACAATGGGAAACCTGTTGTGGTACATAGGGCGAATCGAACAGTTTCACTATGGGCGGTACAATTAAATGCAAATAGTCATCCAAATTATTGCCAAACTTTTGCAACGCTTGTAGAAGACGCCGAGTGACATTACGATCTTTGGAATTGTCGTGTTGAAGAACTCTCAAAATCTGTGGTATCAATTGGGCCAAATAATTGCGAAACTCGCCGCCCAACGCTACTGCAATCTGCTCAATTAAATTAATCAAAGTAACTTGTAGGGGAGTATTGTTGGTCCAGAACTCCTTGATCAATTTGAAGATGTCATTCATGTAGGTAATAATGTGTTGTCGCACAATCTCAACCAGTATGGCCAACTGTTGGAACAAGAATTCTCTCAAATTATTATTGGCAGTTCGGACATTTTCCAAGAGGCTAGGCAAAACTTGAGACAAATACGGTACACATTTGATGCCTAAACTTTGAAAGATATAGGTAACAGCCTGCACCACACTTGTATGACGGCTGGATAGGGTGGGATCGCGCAAAATACGCATTAGAGCAGCAATGGCCACTGCTGGATAGTATTCGTCCAGAATGTTGCCCATATTCACCAATAGTTCGGCTGTTGATATATCCTGATTCTCTTCCACCTTGTAGTCGGAAAGTGAAATGAGGACGCTGTCTTTTTGGCTGTCAATCAGACCCTTATTCATTTTGTGTTTGTAAGGATCCATGGCGCCCAATAAACCAAGTACCCTGATGGTCTCCCTACGTATTGATCTACGTTGTTCGGTTTTGAGGAAATTAATGAGAATATCAATCAATACGGGATATTTGTGATAGGGTGTAACGACTCGTCCTGTAGCACTTATCAATTGGCCCAAAGTCCATAGGGCAACACCACGTTTGTCGGGTGATCCAGCATCACCCAACATTTCCAATAGAATGGAAAGTAATTCATCTGCCCACAGTTCCATTTCATTAGAACCACCATTGACTTCAGCTAAATCACCCACGGCTCGTAACACATTTAATATGACGCCTGGATTTGATTCGGGCTCACGTAATTTGGGCACCAAAATGGTCAATATTGGATTCATATAGGATGATATTAATCGTGGTGTACTAATGACTAAATGATCCAACATTCGGGCACTCTGCTCCTTGTTACGGCTCATACCAGAGTGTTCCAGTTCGGTAAGTAGCTGTAACAAAACACGTCTCAATTTTGGCATAACATAGGCCGGATTCATGGCAGATAAACGTCCAATTGTGACCATAGCCAATTCACGAATTTCAAAGATCTCGTCGTTCAATGTTATGAAGAGGGCACTTAGTGATTCTGGTTGTGCCAACTCTGCATCAAATGTCTCATCCAGTGAACGTAGGATACGTACACGTACATTGCAATCCATATCGGTTATGGCCACAATAAGCAGGCGTTCAATTACATGCGACACCGTGTCACTGAGAGTTTTGGAATTTTCGCTACTGTCGGCTTGTTGTACGGCCAACTTCAGAAGGCGGGTACAGGTTTGTACAGCTTCCAAGCGTATTTCCTGTTGTTCGTGATTTATGAAATAATCGGCACATCTAAAAGAAAAACGAACGTGAATATAAATATTCCTAATGTAACACAATGTATCTCACCTTTGTACAAAATCCAACATGTTTTGTTCTTCGAAATTAAATGTGCCTAAAGTACGCAAGGCCAAGACAATTGTTGCCACATCCTGTGACAGATGCATTGACGAATCCATAGAAGAACTCATGGGCATGATTGTACCATACGCCGTTGCAACTGGTTTGTTCATCAGTATTTGCGATAATATGCCAATTAAACCCTCTGCAATGGCAGATTTTAAATCCGGTACATTCTCTGCCAGTTCCCTTAGACATACTGTCAATGCTGGCGATAGACCTGTGGAAAACATTTGCTCCAAAATTTCACCAATATCTTCAGTTATACCAGCCTTAACCGCATTCGCCAGCAGTGTTATACAGGCAAATATTGCCGGATCTATCACTGTTTTACGTTTATTTGTGGCATCCTTAGCGGGTAATGCCATTTTAATAGCTGACATTATTGTCTTCAAATGTTTATTTATGTCACGTTCCACGGCAACAGCTATAAAGCCAATCGTAATATAGGCGACATTACGGTCCTTCTCTTTGCTTTTGAGAACATTCAGCAGATGACTTATACACTTGTTTAAATATTTTTGTACGAAGACTTCACGATTTATTGCTGCCAAACGAGGTAGAATTTGTAACAAGGCCTGTTGGACATATGTGGACTTAGATAGTCTTTGCTCTATAATGTGATCACAGATAACTGTGTAGTGTTCCATTATGACTTCACGGGCATACGACGATTCAAGGACATTGGACTGAAAATATAAATGGGTATTATATTATATATTCTTAAAAGTTTAGAAATAAAATTCGGCATCGCAACTTACCCCAGTAAATTTGTGACTGCCTTGTTGACTCTCCCCCAACTCTACTAAACGAGTAGATCCCAATTTTTTAACAAATGGTGCCTTCAAGCGAGGTACTATTGTTGTCAATTGATGGCTGCTAGTGCCCGAACTACTACCGCCATTTCCAGCGTTTACATATGAGGCAGCAGAGCCATCTCCCAATTTGCCAGACATTGTGTCAGGCAATAAGGCTTTCAGAGTGTTGTATCGTCGTTCCCATGCCGCATTTGAACAACGGAATAGTTCGTTAAATATAATCATGCTACCGTGGATACGATCATCCCGTGTCATACCTTTTGGTTCTTTTTGTGTAACATTTATATCTTCATTGAAACTTTTTAGCGCCTCAGCATATGAAATTTTATACCATTGCGGTTCACTTGATTGTTTTGTGTTTTCACGTTGTGCAGTGACAATTAAGGCAGCTCTCAATGCCTCACCGGCTGATTCACGTATAGCGGGTTTAGGATCAAAAATTGCATTGAAAATATGATCAAAGAATGTGGAAATTTGTTGATAAAAATATGTGGGCATTGCGACGGCTAATTCTCGTAGAATAAAAACCGCAGCATGACGGCGATACTAGAATGAAAAATTAGTAAACAATGAATTACTAGTTGTTTCTACTAAAAATGGAGTAAATTTTGGTTTACTTCGTGTCGGTCGCCGCTTAGCCATTCAAATGCTCTTTTTATATCGAATTCAAAGGATTCTGCACCCTTGGAACCCGGCAAGTTGGCCAACTTAACCAGGGTGCGTGCTGCAATTTCCATGACCGAGACATCGTTGCAAGGCAGCAAATCACGCAAATGATTATAATACGGAGTTATTCGCTTCATTGTATTCACAACATCGCCACTAATTAGGCACTCTGAAAAAAGGAGACATATGAACAATTATTTCGTCACAGACCACACCAGACATCGCTGGTAGTCTGCCGGCAGGTGATACTCACTTATGGCCAATACGCCACCCTTCTTCTCATTTATGTCGGTAGACATAACCATACTAAATATCTGATGATTAAAGTCATCGAAGAACTGTACCAACTCCTCCTGGGACATTTCACGCAGTTCGGTCTTGACATAGAGGAATAGATCTTGTGCAGCCTTGCTTTGCACAACGCGATTTCGGGATTTGAGTCCCGTCACAAATTGTTGCACAATCGATGTCGTCGACATGATTTCCGTTCTCTTCATTAAGAAATGCAAAATATTTCCCTGTCGATTTCCACTACATTCACTTTGTCAATATACTTTTCGCTTGTTTTCGTTCTAAAATCTATAAAATAATTTTTTCTATTTCACAATAGTGATGGACAATCCATCGATGTGACTATCGACTATTTCGGCGATACCGATTAAAATGGTTGGACTATCGATAATGTCTGTTAAATGACAGCTACAGCTGCCTTCGTTTGTTTTCGTACATGTAATAGTACGTTTACATAAGCACATATTATCAGGATGTGAAGCAAACAGTCAAACCAATAATAAGGTCACCCAGGAAGACCAGCCAGATTTTCGTATGTATATATAAATATGAATTTAAGAGTATCCCAAAGACATTTCTGTAAACTATTAGGAACATATCTAGCATGACAGAACCATACAAGGTAGGCTACAGCAACTTTCAAATTAATTTTTTTTCTTGTTATGGCTTGTTATGTCAAGCCATACACAAAATGTGTGAATGGATGTGTATTTTTTCAAAAATAAAAATCTATTTTCAGTTTAAGTAGTTTGACAGCCCTACCTAAAATTCAACTAGCTCATTCGACGTTTTTCACCTCAAAAGTAGAACAAGTGTCGACGTACGAATTTTCAAAGTTGAAAAAATTCAACTATGACAGAACATATTTTAGTTTTTCATTTGTTGAAAAAAGAATCAAAACATAAAGGAAATATGTATTTTTCAATAAGAATATGAAATAATTGGACACATTTTATTATTTTTCGAGTTTATTTCTCGATTTTGTTTAGCTTGCTAAGAGATATGAACTCAACGTATTTGGGTAAAACGGCCGTACAAAACATTTCGCCATAGTAGGGAAATTGAATACATTTGTACGCCTCGTTGGAATTTAGGTAATATTGTGAAATATGGATTTTGCAGTGTCCGTAGGGAAGAAATTTTAAATTTGTGTGATGAATTAATATAAACATTTTATATTCTATTCGATTTTCTGAGGAAAACCAGACGTTCCATTCCTTTTGCGTTTTAGTACAATGAAAAAAAAAAATATGTCAAATGAAAACAAGGACGTTTTGCATTTGTATATATTAATTCTGACATAATAAGTCTGAGGTTGAGGGGTATTTTTTCTTTGTTGACAAAAGCTACCCTGTCCTGTCAAATTGTACCATGATATCTAGTTTATGGCCCGCTGGTATATTTCAATTTCCCCCTGCATCTTAAAATTCTGTAATGGTGTTTTTACACGATATGTATTTTACATATGTGCTGTCACTTTATTTATATATGGAAATCGAACTCGTCATGTGAAACATACGGAAATTTCAATGTGTCATATGCAATTACATATGTATTATTTTCCGAATAGGACGCTTTCTATTTTCGTATGTGAAACATAAGGAAATCAGCTGATTGAATGAAACATATTGTTGGAAGAAAATATTTCAATTGGAAGTCAAAGAAAAGGATGAAAAGGCAACAATTACAAATTATTATTTCGTTTGTAGGTGTTTAATAAAAACTGATGTTGATTTAAAAAAAAAATAAAAGTAGTTTTTTGTTTATAGGTTATGTTATATGTAAAATGCATATGCCGATTTGAACACAAAAAATAAAAGTTTTGAGTTTCGACACACATATGGATGAAATAAGTGACAGCACATATGTAAAATACATATCGTGAAAAAACCCATAAGCAATATTGGTATCAATTGATTACAACAATGTAATTGTCTAATCGAAGAGGCCTATTAATACATAACGCTATAAAAATATTAATTTAACTGAAAATATACGTATGGGCTTTATAAAAAAATTTTAAATTTATTTGTTTTAAATGCTTTAAACCACATCAATATAAACTTTGCAATGGTAATTGGAGTGGAAGCGCTAGACGCCATCGCCGAACGTTTGTTATTGTCCAACTAACAACTGACATTTGTTTACAATGTACACACACACACTCACATATTCACATGTTTTGATTTTCCTTCACAAGAGTGTGTGTGTGCGTTTGTTCTTGCCCGTTTTGTTTTGCTCGAAATATTCGCGTTCGGGGTAAAAAACAAAAAAAAAAGAGTATATATATAACCCCCGAAATGAGGTAATGAAGAATAAAGAATACGTAAAAATACAACCCTGTCGAATATATGGTAATTTTCATTTTTTCATTTTTCTCGCATAGGTGGTTTTTTGGGTGGATTATTAGTTTTTTGCACCGAAAATAGCCGTCATGGCTTTCAATCACAAACACTTCATATTTTTATTACTAATAATAATCGTAAGTTCCGCAATAGCTCAATTATCTGAGGATCCATACAAAGTTTTGGGCCTAAATAGACATGCCACAAATCAGGAGATACGAAAGGCCTATAAACAACTGGCCAAAGAATGGCACCCAGATAAAAATAGTCATCCAGATGCTGAATTAAAATTTGTGCAAATCAAGAAGGCCTACGAATTGCTGAGTGACTCAGATCGACGACGACTGTATGACCAGCACGGTGTCACCCACGAAGATTCACATATGTACAAGCAGAAGCATGATTACAGCAACTATGGTCGCTTTGCCACCGACCCCCTTGAGGAGTTCTTCGGCAAGCAGTTCCATTTCGACCACGACATTAGCATATACCACAAATTGTCGGTGACGACCAACTACTATGAGCAGACTATTCTGGAAAAGAGTCGAAGTATGCCATACTTGATAATGTTCTACAATGATTGGTGTTTCCGTTGCACCCGTCTGGTGGGAGCCTTTAAGAAGTTGATTGATATTTTGGAGCCTTTGGGAGTGCAGTTTGCCAGCGTCAATGCGGCCCATGAACAACGGTTGTTTCGCACGGCAGGGCTCAACGATTTGCCTGGCCTAATTTTGGTGTTGAATGGGCACAATTATGTGTATCGCGAGAATACTCTCAGTGCCCAAAAGGTAGTCGAGTTTATACGCAAAAAGTTACCCTATCGGATGGTGACAAGCGTCGATGACAGCAATATTGATGACTTCTTGAATGGCTGGATGGATAATAAGGTCAGGGCTCTGATTTTAGAGCCCCGCAATCAGACACGACTACGTTATTTGTTGTCTGCCTTCCAGTTTCGAAATCGTGTGCAATTTGGCGTGGTGCATTTAGAAAAGTCCAACTGCAAGGACATAAAAGAACGTTTCCAAATTCATCCGAATTTGGATACATTGCTGATATTCAATGAATTTGTGGAGCGACCAGTGGCCAGTGTATCTATGGCTGATATACCCACACAAACCTTGAATAGCATCATAGCATCGAATCAGTATTTAATGCTCCCCCGTTTGTCGTCACAAGAAATTCTTGAGGGAATATGTCCAGCCGAATGGAATCGCCCTCGGAAACGTCTGTGTGTTGTGCTGATAACGGAAAATTCAGAAGAGCACAATTTCGCTCGTGGAGCTTTACGCAACATTGCCCTACAAAGTGCTTATAGCATGGAGAAGGTACGTTTCGCCTATATCTACAAGGAGAAACAACTGGACTTTATCAATGCCATTTCACAAGGTTCGGAAAATGAAAAACTTCTACGAATTGTGGTATTGTGGCGTCGCGATACATCGCACATCAAATACGAATGGGTACATGATGCCAGTTTAGATCTCAAGGACCATCCTTCTTCGGATCATTTGATAAATCATACCAAGCAGCAAATAGACCACACAATACAGAAACTTCTCAAAACATCGGAAGCCCTGAGTTATGAAGCCTTTGTCAAGAATCTGTTGGATGAACATGCCCAAGGTTTTATTCACAACTGTATTAATAAAGTGTTTGGCGTTTACGACTATTTGGTGGACACCATCGAGGAACAACATGTCTTGGCTGCACTCTCCCTGCTGGGCACCATTGCATTTATGTTTGCCGTAGGCTATGTTATGGTCTACTTTGTACGAGCCGAAGAAGAAAATCTCAAGGCCAAAGGAGAACTTTCTCCAAATGGCGGTGCCAAGACAAATCGTCAACAACCTGAATTAAGACTGCATGAATTGAGGGCAGAGAAATACAATGGCCTAATAAGACTACTCAAGCCAGGTTGCAGGACCATCATCTTAATAACAGATCTGCAATCGCGTCCAAAATTAATTCCTCCTTTCCACAAGGCCGTGTGGCCATATCGCAAAAATAAAACACTTATGTTCGGTCATATGCTCATCGACAAAGGGCTTTCGTGGTATTCGGAGTTGTTGCGTCAGGGTTTGGGCGATACGAAAACCTTAAATATCAATCCCAGAAATTGTGTTGGTACTGTGCTGGCCCTAAACGGACATCGTAAATATTTCTGCATGTATCATGCCAAACACCCAGAGACGTCGAGGGGTGTTAAGCGAATGGAAAAAATAACACGACAATTGGTGCGTCGTCCCGATGATCCTGAAGTGGGGGCCTTCTTTAACGATGCCAATTCTGATGATTCGGAAGATAATGAGCCCAGGGTGCTTTTAGAGGGTAATCTTTTGGACGGCCTTAGTAATTGGTTGGATCGCCTTTTCGAAGGTAGCACTCACCGGTATTATATCAATTATTGGCCGGAATTTCCCACAAAATAAAAAGCTTTAAAGTGGTCGAGTGGACAACATTCAGAAGCCACATAGCCTGCCAAAAATCAAACCACATTCAATACCATCCAATCAAAGGGGGCGAATGGTGTTGGTTGGAGCAAAAAAAGAAAAAAAGGAATACTCATTATTGCGTATTTTCCAAATAGCTAATTTACCAAATAGAAAAAATACTATTTAATAATACTAAAGAATGAAAACAAAACCAAACAACAACCAAATAAACATACATACATACTTGCCAGAAGCAAAAGCATTAAGTTCAAATACGACATAATACGAGATACGACGATATCATAATTTACGATACTACCCCATCATTACATCTTAAAAACAATCAAGATTACGAAACGAATACGAACTTCGATGGAATAGTAAAATTATAGCAATTGGTGTTATCTAATTGGAATGCGAATGTTTTTGTTCAACATAAAAATCCTAGTCAAGAAGTCCACAATATTTTTAGTTGAAATTTAAAGTAGATATATAATTTGAAAACAATTGGTGTTGAGTGTTATATTGAAATTCATAAAAAGAACGAAAAACAAGTAAAAATTGTAATACACTGAATTCAATTTGTATTTAATTGATTTTAGATTTTATTCAAATTTATTTCATATTCTTTAAATTACATCTAAAAATTGTGGTTATTTTTTGTTACAAATTATTTTTATTATTACTTTACTATTATTATTTATAAATTTAAGTTATGTTTTATACATAATTATGTGTTTGTGTTTTAAATTATATTTTGGACTTCCCTTTCGTAGGGAGCAGTGTCATATTTCGAATATGAACGAATTCGTTCATGTTCGTTATTTAAATAACAAAACTTACAGACATGCATAATTAGACACAAATATACGTTCATAGTTACATACATACACACACATACAATAAAAATACAATAGTTTTATAAGCTTACGATAATATAATATTTATTATTATTACTATTATTATTAATACTATTCACAATAAATTTTAAATCAGATTTAAATAAATACAATTAAATATAAATAGTTTTATTCTTTTGTTTCGCTGGGGTATTTTTTGTGGGAAGAAAAATGTTCTACTACAATATCGGTTCCATTGTGAATACCATCAACCACAGATATTACTAATTAAATTTCTACGTATTTGGCAAAATATATAATAATATTTACAGCAGCTGATAATTGGGAAGATAATGAGCACGGAGTGCTTTTAGAGCATGAAGTTCGAAAATGGACTATATCGGTCGAAATCCAGACATAACGGTATTTTTTACATGTTTTCAACCGTAGTGGCTCTATTACGAAATTGTAGTATTCATTATAGCGTACCTTTATGGATTATCGGTACTTTCCTATACAGCGATCCCACCCATTTATCATTACATCGGAAGTTCTTTCAACGCTTTCCAACTGCATCCTTCCTGCAGTTCCAAGTGGTATTGAATACGTCATACCAAAATAAATGACAGTCTCCCTCTGGCGCAGAGTAATTAACACTTTTTTTAATTGTTTTTATCCTTCTTCGTTTGCCAAATGCTGCTATTTAAACAACTTCTACGAACTCTGACAGAAAATTATGACACTTTAATTAAGTTCGTTTTTATAAAGTTCTAGCTGGCAAAGATCGTCATAACTGATTAATAAATTTATTATGTGAAAATGGAAGTTGGAAGTTAAATTCCCAGAAACATCATATACATACATACGTACGAAAGTGATTGCCAAAAAAACTTTAGCAGAAAGAAACCAAACAAAATAGAAGAAAAACAATTAAACACAAATGTGCTAGGATCACAACTGCAGAACAATTGCTGGAGAATTATTAATTATAAAATTACTGGCAGCCAAATGTGATATGGCTATAGTTTGCAGATGCGACATATGGTACAGTGGTGACGAAAAATAAAAATACAACAAGACATTACAAGAGCTATGACATTTTTGGTGTAGCCCCCATATATCCCCAATATTCGTTATTTTTGGGCTTTTGGACACGTGTTGCAACCGAAATGACTGTAACTTGGCATTTTAGGTTCTCATGGTGTATCACATCTCCGTACCAACAAGTTAGTTTCAGGGTGGCCCCCATATAAAGATACACCAATATTCGGGATTTTGGATACATTTTCTATTTGGGTTCTCATTAACTAACACATATCCGCACTAAAAATTATTAATATTGACTCAGGTCGATATTTTGGACATGTTTTCGATATTTTGAACCGGGGTTCTTCGCTTTATAACTCCAGAATTAATAAAGTACATGAGAAAAATTAAATAGGTTTGGATTTATTGTTCTGTAGTTGCAAACTTTTCATGATATTGACCTCCAAACTTTATATTTGTGGAAGCTGTGTCTACATTAATGAAAAAAAATGGAAAACAGGGTGAGGCAAACCAGTTTTTTTATGTTTTTTTTTTCTCGATTTGTGGCTTAGCCATTAAGCCATTAGTACATCCCCTTATGTATTTTTTTCGAAAATTTATCTGCTTCTACATATAAATGATTCGGACATTTGAAGCTCGATTTTGAGTGTTTTTTGCATTTTTCTTCTAGTTTTAATGTGCAATCTCGAATTTCCAAAAAATAAATTTCTTGTGCGAATTTCCTTCAATTTGAAAGACCACGTTCTAAGATGATGTTTACTACTTGGTCTTTCCATCTAATTGGCCTTCACCTTCTACGGGAACCATCATTAGGCTCGCTTTTGTATGCCTTTTGAGCTGGGGCATTTTCATTCATTCGCACAACATGGCCTAGCCATCGTAGTCGCTGCAGCTCAATACGACTGACTATGTCGATGTCCGCGTATAAATTGTAAAGCTTGTGCACATATTGAATAAAATCTTCTTCGTGAACATCCATCTTCTAGAACGGCGGGAACTGACCTTCCAAAAACCAAATTAAACCTAATATTTTATATGGATGCTACCTTAAGATATAAATTTCAAAAACTTAATTTTGCACAGTCATCTGTCAAAGGTTGTGAGGTCCCTATTATTTGGGATTCAAAGAAAATATTCTAATATATTATATTACCTGAAAACCAAAACTCATCATAAGATGTACCTTAAAAGTTTGGGAAATGGGTGATTCATGCCTACATGCCTATTAAAACACCAATAATGGGATGGGATCAATGTGCGACTATGTTTTAACATGGACCTATATTGAATGTTTCCTATGAGCAAAATTAATTTACCCTACAAGAATGCGTATATACGATACTACATCCGTACGATCACAGCAAATGTTGTTCATTTCCTTTTTTAGACATACTTACATACTTGCACATACACTCCAATTAGTACATCCATTTTATTTGCATCCTATGTGAATTTCTAGACGATTTTATTTTGTGAACAATGAACTTATCCTTTTGTTCGAAAGCATAACAACAAGAAGTTCAATAATTAAAAACGTGTTTAATTTCAAATATCTCATTACTTTGCACAATTGTAATCATTATAGCAGCAGATAAATACTAAACGATGTATAGCCTAAAGCGCCAACAGGCAAAACTATGTTGTTCCAGGTAGTCAATGTTAACTTTGTACATAAAAATTGAAGAATGGTTACAGAGTTTGGGTTCATTACAGTAGATACCAACAATAACATATTCTTAAAAAAATCCACACAAAATCTACATTGAAAAATATTCTTTAAAAAAATCCACACCTTAGATAGTTGTTGAAAAGTATTGTTCAAAAAATTCCAGCCTAAGAGGGAGAACTGAGTGGTTCAAGGTAGTCAAAGTTAACTCCGTACGTTGACATTAAATAAAAGCTGTAGAGATTGGGGTATTACTGTAGACACCAGATACTGTATAAAACATTTTCAACTAGGAGAGTTGTTGAAAAATATTCTTTTAAAAATCCACACCTTAGATATTTTGAAGATGATCCATATAACGGCATTCTCAAATTTGCGATATTCAAAGGATTTTAGCCACCCTTTCAACCGAATTAGCTTTTCCTTAGTTTTCGTACTGCTTTAATATTAAGGAAAATACTGATAATACTCGAACAATCCATTCGTCTGTGTGAATGTGTGCTTGTGAACATTTTTTTTCTTGGATGATGGTAATGTTGCTTGACGTGGTGGAGGGTGTTATGGAACATTATTCATTCCGCTCATAATATTTTCAATCAATAAAAAAGGAATTTCATTACTATCGACTTCGGCAAACGTTAAAGAATTAGAAAATGTGGATAAGAAACACAGAGCATTGTGGTGGATAGGTTATGGTTTGGAATGTAAGTAGAACAAGCAGGGCAAATTGTGGTCGCATGGCAGAAATAGAAGAATATTAGTATTTTTAAAGTATAAGATGTGTAAATGAAGTTGGGTAAAGCATGACCTCCCAGTCACCTTAGAAATAATACTATGGCCTGTATTTTTTTCTAAATTAGCAGGAATTTTCAATCTTGCTTAAAACATACTTAGGCTAATAATACTCAAATTTGGGATTGATTGTGGTTTAGTAGAAAGAGTTTATTTTTAGTGAGGGCTGTGTTTACTACAAGCAGTCCACAAATATAGCATTTTTTGCGCCTTATTAAGTTTGGTTCTTAGAGTCGAATAAGGAAAGGTAGTGGTTAAAATTTTCGGCATAAATATTAGCTCTGTCTGTTTACTCGAAATTTGGTAACAATTGTTACCAAATGTTGGCTGTTTACACAAAAATTCAGTAAAAGAGAGTCAAGTGAGAGAGCAAGTTTGACAGTTGAACAACAACGAACTTACTGGAGTTTACTGAAAGAATTTTATTCAGTAAGATTTTGCAAACTCGACATTTTTTGATCAGCTGTTTTATGACCAAACACAAAAATTATTCAAAACATTTTTTTTAATTTGCAAAGTTCAATTTGGAATTAAGTTGTATAAAAATTACAGAAAATTCGTAAGTAATGCTAAGTTTCATTAAATTAGAAACTAATTCCTTATATATTTTTATGCAAGTTCTATATATATGGCAATGTTTTGATGCAGGAAGCTTAAATATTCCGGGGGAATATACCAAATCAATTATTCTTTTATTATTTATTATATTTTTAATATTAAATGCAATACAAATAATTGTGTTCGTTCTTTGTTTGTTGTTTATTTTGGCGGAAATCAAATGTTTTCTTAAAACAGCTGTTTATTTGCTAAATCTTACTAAATGTTGTCTGTTTACTTTTCTCAGTAAA